CCCCAAAGTTTGGTGTCATCGGCGAACTTGGCCAGTCCGCTTCTGACTCCAGTGTCCACATCATTAATGAAGATGTTCATCAAGATCATTGAACGAGTGTTAGATAAAGCACCTCTACTGCCATTTTGAAGTGCGGGGATGCTGATACACAAGACTGCTGAAGCGCAGTAATTCCTATGCTCCAGCAGAGTTGATTAATTGAGTCTGTTCCGACATGCTGTAATTATAGTGTCAGAGGAGCCTTGCTGCTTATGTATAGGGACCCATAGGGCTTACTTTACAAACATTTTGCATTGAAGGTAGAGAGTGTTTACAGGAACAGTTATATTGACCTCAATGTCAGTTTGTCTTCCAGGAAGGCAATTTTCACTTATTTAAAGTTTTTTTCAGCATCATAGCTACTCTCTTCCCTTTAATTTTTGCCTCTTCAAGAGTATCAAACTAAAATATAGAACCATAACTATTCTTGAGGCCCCTGAAGGGTCAATGCTAGCTTAAAAGCTATATACAATGGTTTATACTAGCAGTGTCAAACATACGACCCAGATCCAGCTGGATCCAGCCTGTGGAACCATTACATCTGGCCCATTGATAGTCTGGTGGGCTACTAAAAGTGCACCACCCCTCGGCTCTATACTGCCATGTGCCACTGACACCGACAACTACCTAGCGACACAGAACTTTGACCCATAGGTAGTGCCAGGGATGTGAGGCAACATGGGTCCAGGGGCGTTCAACTGCAAGGAACTGTGTTTGTGCAGTGCGGTGCCAGAGGCACGTAGCATGGAGCTCTGGCTAAGTGCACCCCTGCACGCCTCCGCTCTATGCCACTGCCCAGCCAGAGTTCCACGCGGCTGCATGCCCTGGTTCCTCAGATGCACGCACTTGCCTCTGTGCTGCATGAACAGGGCTTTGTGCAGCTGCATGCCCCTGAACCCACAGATCTGGCCCTCGAGGAGCTTCTTTGGTCTGGATCTGGCTTTAGGCCCAGGGTGAGTTTGACACCCCTGCTTTATACAATCAGCATTCTTTCCCTGATTAGTACAACTTCACTGAATAAAGCCTCATTTTCAGCAGCATGCAATTCTGACAAGTCATCTTCACCTAGAAAGGCAACTGTTCAAAAGGAAAATTTTCAGCATGTCACAACCCAAAGGGTGTGATTTTTGTTTTTGTGTGCTTCAGCACTGCTAAATTGTTCCCGCTAAATTATTGCTTCCTTGCACGGTGGAGTTTTCTGCTGCAAAAGAGAACCCCGGTACAAGGGAGAATTTCCCGCCAATTTGAAGCTTTCTTTGCAGGGTGCATTTCTTTGTTGCAGCACAGAAATGCTCGTTGCAAAGAGTTCCCGCCATTTGTATGCTAATTCGAGTCCCATTATTGGCCGGTTCTAAATTATTCACACGTGGCGGTTAGTGATTGGCTTGCTAGCCATATAAAAGGCTTGAGTGGTTTCCACCCAAGTTGGAGGACTCCACGAACAAGGGAGGAGGAGACTTCACGCTGTGTGAAGATCTCTAAGCGCTGCGGATCCTCACGGACCCAGTGCATTTAAAGCAGGCAACGGAGGTGTGATCAAGCCTAGCAAACTTCGTGTGAGTTTATTCAGAGCTCTTCCGGACGAGTACTTTCTTCGGCTGACACGACGGGCTCGCGTGTTCAGAGCCTTCAGCCGGATTGGGCTAGAGTTCACGAGTCTAGAACTCTTGTCCGCCTCTCTTCTTTCCTGTCTGTAACCGCAACTTAAGCAAGTTTTCAGCCTGCACCACTGCCATCTCGGTGTAAGTAAACAATCTTTTAAACTACCGATACGCGTTTGTGCCTAATTTCAGCTCGACGGCCTTCCCTCTCCAACCCGGCGTGCCCGGGCTGCTGGCCACAGCCCGCGTGCAGCACGGAAAAGGGCTCGGGTCGCTCCCGGCCCGCACACAGCACACTAAGAGAAATTATTTTTTGCACTGTAACTATTTTTTAAACAACTCTGAGTGTAGTGTTGAAACAGGAATTCATGTGACCTGTCTACAAAAATGTGCCTTTATACCTTTTAAGCCATGGAGCGCACAAACATTGTAAATGTAACTTCAGAAAGGGATACCAGATGAAAGGTTTTCAATGCCTACAAACGGAGATAGCTGACTCCACCATTGTGATCTGAATCAGAGGTAATTCATTAAAGGGTACTGGTAGTTTGGACCTCAAAATCTCTCTGATACAGAGGTAGGATAGCCTCTGGAATGTGAAGCATTTATCTTGCTCAGTAAATTAGGTCTGTAATTAAAAAAAAAAACACTTAGCTCTAAGACCTTCAAATTTACTCAGGGGGCAACAGAGAAAAAAATAGTTTACAGCAGCAGTTCCCAAAAGAGGGTCCATAAGGCCATGGCATGGGGTTCACATGTAGTATCATGTCTTTATCACTGGTCTAGAAAGTTTGGAGCCACTAGTTTACAAAATATTTGTCTGGAGCACTTACAAAAACAAATACATTTTACAGGAACACCTTATCTTACTTGAACTAGGACGAGCCATTTTTAAGCAAAATCTCTGTTTCTTGGAAAAAAGAGTTTTAAGTCCACAGCATGCCTGGAAAACCAGCCTTCTAGTGGTGAACTGGAAGAGACTCATTAGGTTGTCTTAATGATTCTTTATCTGAAAAGAAGTCAAAAGAAAGTTACATGAACATGTATGTTTACTTGACAAGACTGTTGGGTGAACATACATCAAAATGGTCTTGTTCTGTGTCACCAAAAAGAATAAGTTACAGCATATTCCATTTCCTCCTCTATCCTATTCAGCTTGCCAAAACTTTGCTATGGAGAAAGTTCACAGCTATAACTTTTCAAGCTTATAGAGGAATTAAAATAATATGATAAAGTATAGCACTGTTGAAATTTAATAGGCTTCTAATCTTTCCTTTTGGGAGAAAGGAGAGCATGCTATCCCCATATTTCGCTCAGGCTGTTTTCCCCTTGTAAAACAGACATCTTAAGCCTACTTAGACTCAAAATAACATGCCTCATAGTTTCAGCTCACACAAATTAATCCTTTCCATTAAAATTCTATGCTGCGACTGCTGAGTCCTTGCATTAAATGTATGCATTATGATATCAGAGCCTTGTTAAACAAACATGGTAGACTATGCAGAGTTAGATGTACAAACATAATTCACAAGATAAACCCACAGGGCATTTATACACATACTTTTCTGTCCCGTGATGTGCCACAGATTCACCCCTTCACAAATTAATCGAGTCTGCTCCACACGCAAACTGAGGCGAACTGTGCTGCGCCATGTGCAGTTGTATAAGCGGCAAAATGCAGGTCAGCACGTAGAAAATGGTGGCGGTGAGCTTTTAAACTAAAGCGCCTCTGATGTATTTTAGTTCAAAAGTGCACCACTACCATTGTCTTAGTGCTGATGCACATTTCACCACTCATACAACTGTAAGCATTGCACTGCCAGGCACTTTTCAAAGCACCCAGTGCTGTGGCACTTGCATATGTAAAAATGTCCAGAGATTTCAAACAGGAATCCATGGTGCTAAAAACATTTTGACCTGTTGTGAACAGAAAAACTGCTCTCTTGTTTTTCCATAGCTAAAACATGAGTAAAAAGTAAAAGCTATCCTTTTCTGAGGGGTGCCTCAAGTGTAAAAAGGTTGAGAACAACTGATCTATAGAGCTGGGGGTTAATTCTAAGCTTTCAATCCTAGTGCTCAGCCTGCAAGAACAAAAAAGTAGTATTGATACAAATCCTCTTTACATGCCAATTTCCTTTGCAGTGGTAAATGGATGCTCACTTATTTTTAACAGATACAGAATCCACAAAAAACACAAATGTAACTGAATATCTGAAAAGAGAACATTTCTATTCCCTATAATTAATGTGCTCTTTCTGGCCATTTAAAGCCAAAATTCTTTCCATTTCCTCAGATGTTTTTACATTTCAGTCTAAAGAGAACTTTCCCTTACATTTTGAAACTGTAGAAGGGAAAAAAAACCACACGTATACCATCACTGTGCATTTTCCTTGTATTATTATCATCTTTCCCTTTTTTGTATTAAAAGAATAATCTGAATAAAAATATTTTAAGCAATGGTAATTATCTGGTCTTGATGGTAAGGTAACTGTGATACAAAACTTATTGCACATGCATTCATTATTGGCATCACAGTATAATCATTTTGTCTGTTAGATTACAAGCATAGATTTTGTGAAAGCATGCATTGTGAATTATACTCAAAATAGATGGCATACATATAACTTAGACAAGAAACTGTCATTCAGGGCACACTGTACCATGCATCAGACATTTCAGTGTTAAAAAAAATGGGTTAGAACAACAACCAGTAAAATAGGACTGCTGAGGCCCAAATTCCTGTGAAAATGTACTTGGACTAATGGGCCTCTCGCTGCAGGTAACAAGTTGTCAGATCAAGGCCTTGATTTAAAGTCACATGATCAGTTGGTTCCTGCAGGAACCCAGCTGTACACAACACTGTCGCCAAAAGCTGTATTTACCACATTACACCAGGAGAAAGCACTTATGAAGATAAAGTGCTTCATTCGTGCTTTTCCAGACTAGCAAACTGTACTGGCCAAGAGCTTTGGAACAGAATTTTGCACCTAAATAGGCACAATTTAGCAACTTGAAAAATGTATATTATCTACTTGGGAGAAGCAGAGTGTTTTTGGTGTTTATTGAACTAACTGTATAGAGATGTTAGACAAGCTTCTGGGCACAAAATGCCCTTCTTTAGCTATACCACCAAAAACAAAACAAAACCAAAAAACCCCTACCTTTCACATATTCCCTGGACCACCACACAGCTACAACACTCCAACCTGACTTACCTACTTGGTGTCAGCCTATGGCCCTCGCTCCTGTCCCCGTTTAATTTGGTTTTTGTTGCTGATCCAAGCAATCAGTGATATGCCCTTAAAGGCCCCCATCACCAAGGGGGGCTTGCAGCTCTACCTGGTGGGCTTTCACCTACATTACAGAATGGCGTATCGAAGGCCTGCGCCGCAGCCAGCGGGTGCTGAAAGGGGGAGTGAGGGGGCTTTGCCCAGCTGTGCTCTCCCTTGCAGCATTTAAGGTCTAGGAAGTGCCAGTTCAGAGGCCATACTCCTAACTCCCGTGCTCAATCGCGACGAATGCCTCCGTTCCTCCAAGAATCTCCATCCTCCGCGGCCGTTAAGCCCTGGGTAGACAAAGCCTTGGCTGGCTGGTCCTGCTTCAGGCAGGGGGTCAGACCAGACGACCCCCTCCCAACCCTCATTTCTATGGTTTCTGGGGGTTTCTCTTCCCCACCCAATGAGGAGAGAGGCTAAGAGGAGACTGAGGAGGGATATAATAGCAGCCTTCAACTACGTGAGGAGGGGTTGGAAGAGGATGGAGTCAGACTGTCCTCGGTGGTGGGAGATGACAGACCAAGAAGCAACGGTGGCAAGTTGTAGCAGGGGAGGTTTAGGGAAGCCCCGCACGGGG